ATCCCCCCAACATTTCACAAACCACAATCACTTCGGCATGTCTTCCAAGCATGGGGAATGACCTAAAGGTGAGTAGAAGGTGTGTGAAAATCATCACGGAAAAATCGTTATGATGTTCACTCACGTTCGGGACCCCAAGAGGAACACCGATTCAAAAACAAGAGAAATACATTGGAGGCCCCCCAAAACACACATATGTTCCCGCCGTAAATACACATAAAAACACACCTCCTATATCCGGTCCGATCCACGGCGCTTTTGAGTCACACAACCTCTTCACTACTCCACATCCATCGGTAGTGGGATCTCCCCCTCCAAGTTTTTGTACTGAAAAGAGTACAATTTTTTGTTTTCTTCGTACGCGAGACGAGCAAAGATCTTTTTGGTTGAAGCACTCCTGGGGCGAGGTCCCATTAGCAGTTGGATAGGAGTGTGGCCGATCCAGTGTGACACTGAGTGGCAGCGGGCTGACAGGTTGTTTACGAATTTATGGGTTGAAAAAACAGGAGAAAGGCAAAAGAAAAAAAAGAAACAGAGACCTCCCACCGGAAATCACGGCACAGTGGTGGTTGCAACAAGTAACCGCCACATTTTCTGGAATAAACTCGACTTCTGTCAGCACTGATCCTGACACCCTCCATATACTCCGTGATTGAAGGAGGGCTCCACCCAATGAGATAATTGCACAACAGCAAGTAAAATACTGAAAATCTTCTATCCAGTGGCCTTATGGCCGACCCCACCCTCTTTTGGGGTTGGCCACACCCCCAACCGATTGAAAAGATTCTGGCGATAAGCTTTCTTTGCATGGCCATGCCCAGTGTTAAGGAGAGGAGGAGGGGAACAAAGATCTCCTTCCTTCTTCGGGTAATACATGTAAAGTACTGACCGTGGGATCACGAGTACTGCACGGCAGGATTTGGGTCACTCAACTGCCCCACAAACTTGTTTCTATCCTATCCCGTTGCTAGTGGGACCTCGCCCCAGGACCTTCAATCTGGGTGTGTATGGACTGCGTCACCATCTGTGCCAAGTTTCTTTCTTTTTGAGAAAGGTGGTGCTTGTAGAGGATGTGGTGGTCGGGACTCACTTTGTGATCAATGCCATTGGATCATTTGTGATCTGATGGTTAGGAATCACTGTTCCATTATTTTTTATTATTTATTTCCCTTTACTAACTTTAAGTGAACACTCATTGATGGCGTTTTATTTTTGTTTCATGTCTCTCTCTCTCTCTCTCTCTCTCTCTCTCTCTCTCTCTCTCTCTCTCTCTCT